CCCCAAAACCCCAAAACCCCAAAACCCCAAAGGTGTATTTTCTGATGAATCTAGTTGTTTTTATTAAATTAATTTTAGATAATAATGTGTCATTATTCAGAAAGGTTAGGCAACAGAGTAGACTTCAATTTCGAGTACTCTAAAATTATACTTACCCCCTAAATACTATCTACCCTCTTCGCTGCCATATTTTAAATCCTTAGGAAGTCTGTATGTGTAACCAAGATTGCATCCGCTATCAGAGTTTTCATGCGAGTTCTCACTAATAGCGATGTCGAAACTAAATTAAATATGAGTATCCTTCTTGTGATAAACCGATCGATCTCTGTTCTGATACTAGCTATGCTTAGTCTTATGAGTTAAGGAAAACACAAATGCTTATGGATCCTTTATCCATTTAGCCTTATCAGGTGTTGTCAAAGGTTAAGATGTGAAACCGCCAAAGAGATTCTGGAATTCAGACTAAATTATGCAAATAATTGGACCCTTGAAGTCACAAAGTTTATGGAAATGTGATCCTTTGAAGCCATCTCTTGAAGCCTTGTAAATCAAATGAATACTAACTTGCTTGTTCTTATCAATCCATCCCTTAATTAGTTCCTAATAGTTCTGGTTCAATAAATGCGATTGTTTAAAGTAAGCGCTTCCTTTTGTTGGAGAACTAGATACAGTTTGACTCATAACTCTAGAATGCCTTGGCTTAATCACTTCTATAGGTGTATTTGAAGCAATTTACTGCAAATGCTCAAACATTTTAATCTTACAATCAGAACTGTCAACAAGTGGTTTGACTGCAACTTTATTGGTTTTCAGATTCTGTTTATCTTAATCTGTACCATCTGGACTGTCTTTAGGCTCTAGCATTATCTTTTTATTGAATCGCTCGAAACTAGTTTCTTGAATATTTACAGTTTCTGTCTAAATCGCTTGTTAACTCTTGTAAACTTTATTGGTTTACACCCATTCATCTGCCATTTCAAATTCTTCTGTTTATACTCCCTTAAATCCAACACCCACACTTTCATACAGCAAGCCTATATCTTAAGTGCTTGCATCTCTTTTAAACAACACTTCATCAGTTTATGTCTCAGATGATAGAGTATTGACTGAAAGATTTTGCTTTTCAGACATCAATATCTTACATCCTTTGCAGTAACTATTTCTTTAACTTTTCTAATCAATCTAAGTCTCATCTTCAGGATTTAAGTTTTCTTCACTAAAACTGCTGTTGCAGTTTTGATTATCATGAAAAATATTGTTATCTTCACTACTTATTTCCAAAGAATGAAGCAAATCTTTATCTAAAAGCTATAGGGTTTCTAGTTTCTTCGTATTTCCATAGAATATTCGCAAGAATAGCTATTGATATTCTCTAATTTTTTAGATGAATTCTGAGGAGGAGTAAGAAATTGACTGATTTATATTATTAGAGTCAAAGTTATCAAAGAACTTTAAGAAACTTTGTAAAGTTTAAGTCAATTCTGTTATATTTTGAATTGCTTAATTAGAGTATGACTGGATATCTATTTTCTTGATCTTGCTAATGGATTCTGAGTGATCAGAGTGATAGTTTTAATAGCATTTTGTGCAAAATAACTCCTATTCCATTGAGCAATAATATCTTGCTTGATTTTATTTGTGTTATTCACAAGTAATGTTGATAGGATCAAAAGTATCGCTAATTAAATTCACATTTTTCATGAATTTATCATTAATCCCAACAGGAGAGTTACAAGCAATGCATAAGATTACTTTCTCATTTTCAACATAATTTTCATTGAAGCAGCTTAAGCACAAGCTGTCTCCACATTATAGAATTATTAAATGCCTATCTGAAGAATTAAACTGCTAATTGCAAGATTCGCATTAAGGATAAGTCTGCATTATTATTAGAATATCTATTTCGGTGAATAATCTTTAAAAGATCGAAAAATCTTAAATCTTGTTAATTTATTATATTAATTGATTTCCTTTGCTATATTTAGACTTTGGGGTTTTGGGGTTTTGGGGTTTTGGGGTTTTGGGG